TTTTAATTTCCAATCCATAAGTCTGTCTCTTTTCTCCATTCTTTCCCCTCCCGGGGGGAGAGTGGGGGTTAACAGAGAGCGTCTGCTGCCCGTTTTAAGAGCCAGCCCAGCCTTAAACAGTGACACCACAATAAAAAACAAAACAAAGAAAATCATCCTAATTTTGTCAAATTATATAATATCATAGAATCATTTAAGTTGGAAAAGACCTTTAAGATCACTGAGTTCAACTGTTAACCCAGCGCTGCCATGTCCACCACTAAACCAATGTCCCTAAGCACCACATCTACACGTCTTTTAAATACATCCAGGAATGGGGACCACAACACTTCCCTGGGCAGCCTGTTCCAGTGCTTGAAAACCCTTTAGGGGAAGAAATTTTTGCTAATACCTAATCTAAACCTCCCCGGCACACCGTGAGGCCACTTCCTCTTGTCCTATCACTTGTTACTTGGGAAAAGAGACCAACACCCACCTGGCTACACACTCCTTTCAGGTAGTTGTAGAGAGCGATCAGGTGTCCCCTGAGTTTCCTTTTCTGCAAACACCCCCAGCTCCCTCAGTCGCTCCCCATCAGACTTATGCTCCAGACCCTTCACCACCTTCGTTGCCCTTCTCTGGACTCGCTCCAGCCCCTCAAGATCTTTCTGGTAGTGAGAGGCCCAGAACTGAACACAGCACTTGAGGCGCGGCCTCACCAGTGCCGAGTACAGGGGGACAATCACTTCCCTGGCCATGCTATTTCTGATACAAGCCAGGATGCTCTTGGCCTTCTTGGACACCTGGGCATATGTCACATTGTTAGGGTGCTTTATAAGTGATATTAACATTAGGCACCTTCATTTGAACAACAAAAAGCAGGGAAAGGTGGTAAATACGAACCTAGACACAAAGTGTTTCTAACATTCATCTAATTAATGAGATGGTCTTCCTAGTAGACCATTCTACAGGGAATATTCCACTGAATGTTGTTCAACATAAAGCTTGATATAACTAAATAAATGAAATACAGGAGGCAGAAGGCTAACAGTAACTAATCCATAAGATAATAATTCTGCTATATATCCTATCCTTTAGAACAAGATACATATATAGGTTGCCTATCTCTAAACTTATTTCTCTACAGTCAAAGATAACCCTGCATATTTTGCAGTTTTAATAAGAAGTGCTGAAGACACAGTTACCTTTTAATTCCTTGCACATATGTATTTTAACTAAGATCTGAATCACCTGGTAATTGGATTTCAGCATGGTTTAAAAATTAAACATATTACAGTAATTGAATTACTGAGTTATAAATATTACAAGGAAACTGCTGTGTGATTACTGAAACAGTTCTTCCAAAGTTATACATGTTCTATTTTTAATGATCACATTTCTTGGGGAGAGTATATACCACTAAAATTCCTGTGGAACTTAAACATTGACAACCAGGGAAATGTTCCACCTGCTAATATCTTCTGGATAGGCTGTTCAGATTGTCCCTTGATGTATTTAGAAATCAAACTAGATGACCCAGACTACTTTCTAACATGAAGCTCTGGGAAACTGAATTTCCAAATCAGAAAGAGGAAGAGAACACTTGACTGAAAGCTTCTGGTATTTGAGAGAGATGGAGCACAGTGCCAGAAATAAGAGATTCCTCTCCTTAGAAAGTAATGAGAAATATCATCTTATTTTTCTGAATTGTCCTCACTGACCTAGGTTAAGGAAAATCTTGCTGTTATCTTTGCCTCATTTTACCATGGATCAGAGGCCTAGACAAGACAAGGCAATACAGACAGATCTTTTATTTTCTTGTAACAATGCCCATACATTATACTATACTGTACTTTTCCTCTGAAGTATCATACAAATGTAGATGCGGTGGTGAGCTTGAGTTCTAGCAAGCTTAGAAAATACAACAGGCATAAAGATTAGTAACTATTAGAAACTGCTGTTTTACAGACAAACATGGGACAATAGGATACTTTGCCAAGTCTTTCCTGTGGCTTTTACGGTAGAATTTCACACAGATATTATTTTGACAAATATGCATAAATTCTATTCAAATATGGACTGGAGTAAAAAATACTATGTAATTGCAGAATACTCTGATTCAGAATTAAAAACTACTGAGTTCTTTCACCTGATAAGGTAAGAATGGCGAACATTATATAGGGAATACATCTAACAACAGAGAGTCCTACCCCAACCTGTTATTTTAACCAGAAAGACTCAGAAGTCCCATAAAGAACTTACTGACAAGTGCTGTTACAATTTCTTCCATATTTTCCAGAAAGCTGCTGAGATGCTGAGTGAACGTGAGATGTGGAGATGTGATCTGTGCAATTACTGCTGCTGCTTCTGCATGAGTAGCTTCAGAATGGCTGTTATCAGTAAGAATGTCAGCCAGGCACAGTATCCCATCAACCTAAGGAAAAACAATAGGTATAAGTTGGAAACACCCCAGGAAATACTTCTGCAACCAAAGATGGGTTTACAGTTCTCTTTTTCTTGGCTGTGGCTCTACTACTCAGTTTATTTTCAAAAATTTAAACTTGGTGGCACTTATAACATAAGAAGTTTCAATTTAGCAAATACAAACAATTTCAGCATAAAAGTTTGTTGACCAGCAAAGAGTCTTGCATTTCCTTCTCCCTTAATGTTTCTGCTGAATTGACTTTGGTCAAAGAAACAAGTCTTTCCTAACAGATATCTCAAGTTAAACATTAATCCAAAAATAAGCTCTGATAAGTAAATGATAACTGCTATTATGCCACAGCCTCATTTAAGCTCTTGTCTCAGTGTGTCCCACTGTTAGACTCAAGCCTGAGCGTGTAGCAAGTTCTTCACAGACATATTTTTTTGCCACATTTTTCTGAACTTGTCACAAAGTCAATGCAGGATCAAAAATATTAAGGAGAGACCCTGGCCAAACTGCACCCGATGAGCTCGCCTGGCTCTCACATTAAAGTTAGGTCTGTATATCCCTTGCTTACTTGGAAGAGAAACAGAAAAATGAGTAAAATGTACATAGATTTATGCTTTCGGAGTGTCTGAAGTGTTCTAAAATCATTCCTTAGACAGTTTAGGCGGATACATCATATATGCAACACCTTGCTCTGGATTAACACAATGAAAGACTGCAACAGAGCATAGCCAGGAGGATAGCTTAAACTACAGAGACAAATCACCTGCTAAGAACCAAACCCAGCAAAGGAAGATTCTCTGTAGACAACGACATAATCTGTGAACTTTCAAAGTAACAGGACTATGTTTCTCATTCTGTTTAACATATCCCTGAATAATTCATCACATTGTCAAGCAGGTAGGTAGATGTGCTTAGAAGGGGCAGAGTGTGAAGACTTATGTAATTAGAGACATGTGTATGTCAAATTCCCATAAATTCACTAATTAAAATCTTTATATGAATAAAATTAATGTAACTATAGGGACAAATGATCAGAGCTTTCACAAGCTTCACTAACTGTTTTAAAAACTGGCCTTATTTATTTATTTATTTGAAGTTCTGAAAAACATGGGGTCAATCACCTTCTATGCTGCTTGGGCACATTATAGATATGAAGAGGACTTATGAAGGCTTAGTACTGAAACATACGTTAACAGTCAAACAAAAACAAACCCACATTTGTGTTGTACACTCACTAAGACTCTTTCTTAGGTCTGTTGTTCAGACTGCACTCTCTGACTATTCAAAGCTTCCTCAGAACACGCATCCTAAGTCCTACCCATTATCTCCACAAAGGGTATTTAGTAAATCTCTTATTCACGTTTTTGTTATTTATTAATACAGAATGTTGAGTTATCTTAATTACTTATCCTGCAATGGGCATGAATTAAATTATTTGGTAAGCACTGACAGTTAATGTATTTTACAAGAAAAGCTCTCAGATTGATGGGAGCAAAAATTACCGTCTGGAAGATCATTCATGGGGATGCACTTTTTAATAGGCAACAGACTATATCATTGAAACTCTAATAACATAGATAAATACAAAAGAAATTATATCTCTATTTTTCCTCAGATTACAAACGGGATTTGGTATAGAAGCTCAAGTACTGGCAAGAAGAGGAAGAATAAATTTTCAGCATTAGAATTTTTCTTGACAAGCTTTCAACATTAATCTACCTACAGCAAAATATTTCCTCCTAGTTATGGCAGAATTCTACAGCTCAAAACAGCAGATTCACATAATTCACTTGGCTTCAAGGTATATTAATAGATTTCCATGTCAAGAATTAATATATGTCGTCACAAGATGATTTAGTAGCCAAAGTGTGCTAGACAATATCATATGCAAAAACCCCGAGCTTTGCCACCTTGAAACCTCCCCAGATCACACCTTGTCTGGCATCTGAAGGATGCTAATAATAACAGTCAGTATTAAAAGTTAAATATATTCCAAGGCATTCAAAAAATACTTCACAAGAAACTTCTAAGGTCTGGTAACAGGGTACAGCACTCTTCAGCTCTAAATTTACTTGTTAAAATTCACTTGGCCAACTCTTATTCAATGACCTCAACAAAATGACTTTAGAGTAGTTTTACACTATTTCAGAACAAGCAACGGCTCATGAAAGGCAGGTGCAAGCACAGGGTTAGATTTTTCCATCACCAGTGATTGTTTATATTGACACTATAAAACACAAGCTTCTAACCATACAGGGCTGTACTCAACTTTTAAATTACATATTTGATTTTTTTATTTGCTAAGTAATTGGTTTTGGAAATTGGGAGTTGCTGAATTGTAAATAGAAGTGGATATATGTTTTTATTCAGCATAAACAGAAAATACATATTTTGGATCCATGAAAGCCTGCACTAGTTATTCTCCTTTCTATTCAGAATCATGTAAAATACTAACAAATTCAGCCTGAATTTGCTCTATACATTTTGTCTCCCATCTTAAATATAGAAAAGAAAATAAAATAATTTTACTTCAGCAGGCAACCCCATTTATAAGTGTCTAGCAATAAATTTTAAAATGACAGGGGAACAATCTAATAAAAGCACTTTAACATCCAAAAAGAAATTGCTGCTCAAAGCATTTTTATAATTAAGCTTTCACACTGAAAGGGACTTTGGATGGCTGCCCTGTTTTCTGTTTAATTTTGGTGAAGTAATCAGCTAAATGTCAAATCTGTTCATCACTTTGGCAATACAAAAGAACCAGTTAGCCAGATAATGCCAGATAATGCAAACAAATGCATTCCATGAATGCAACAAGGTGCTGTGGAGACCCTGCACTTGAGGAATGGCATTCAGTAAATGTTTGATCACTAATATTTCAATATTGATAACTGGAAAAATGCCAGGAACTTACATCCTTATGAGAATAGCCCTGTTATAGAAACTTAATCCAAGTGAGAAAATAAATGTGTGACTGCTTTACTGCATAGATCAAGTCTTCTGAAATAATTTCTTTTCTCTGCAACAGGAATGAATGAGTTCTGGGGCAGCCCTCCTCTTTCTTCAGTATACTTGTTCTTCCTGCTAAAAATACTAAGTAAAACTAGGCATCTGTTAAAGACACCAATACAGAACTTGGGATGAATTGCATTAATGACTTTGTGATTTGGAATATTACACACAACAAGTCTTAACTCTCTGCTTTCCACAAGGAGGTTCAATGCAGGCTTTTGAAGCCACTCTGGGAAAACAAGACCCATTGCCTTCTTTTTTAATAATGTCTGTCTTCATTCATATAAAATGATGTCGAAGGCCTTTTCTCATACTATGACTTTCTCTAACATTCCTGTTTGCCCACTCTTAACATTCAGATGATCTCTGCATATTGGTAAACTTTCTCAAAGGGTTTTTTTTTGCATTCTCTAAATTGATCTCCCAAGTCATCTTGTTGAGATTGGAAAGCCTTACAGGTTATCGGCTGATTTCCCACTGTCAAATCCATGGATTTGAAAAGGATGTATCAGCCTACAACTGAGTGCTTCTGGTAAGCAGCACCAGCAGGTTCCAAAGCAGTTTTAAAGGAAGAATGGAAGGCAGATGTTGAGATCCAGATAGAAGACAGCAAATGTGGAAACAAAATCACAAAGGGCATCGCCTCTTAAACACTGACTCTACCTTCCCAGAAGGGTAGAATTTCAAAAGCAGAGGTTGCATCAGTCAAGAACTGACAGATCAGAGTTGTGTTTGTTTTATCCTTTCACGCGTGCCATGTATTAGAACCTCCAGCTTGAGGCTAAGACAGGTTAACTATACAGGTGAAGATGTGAACATTAGCAGACTAAATTGAAAATGCATAGCTGGATAAAAAACCAAACACATTAAAATTTATGGGATGAGGGAGACAGAGAAGGAAGGAAGGAAAAATTATATTCAGAAAATATTGAATCCCTTGCTTGGCATTCTTTGAATACAATCTACTTCACTCCCCAGACCATCGCATGAACCATGAAGTCACTTCACTATTCTGCAACTCCATTGAAAATGTCATCCAGCAGAATCCATATACTGTTATTTTGATGACTTGTTACTCATGAAATTAATTCCTGATCACCAAGGCTGACGCACATCCTGTGTCAACTTCTGTAACTTATTCTGCACCTGTAGAAGACTTACAAGTCTTGTTTAATTACTATGTTGAAAGAAAGGAAGAGAAAAGGACAAAAGCATTCTACCTTGCACACAATGATCTTTCGTATTTGAATGGTTGCCCTGCCAAGTGCTCTGCAGATAAAAACTGCCTTAGCTCCACTGACAGAACTGCGCTGATTTATACTAGATGAAGATTTGGTCAGCTATTTTTAAAGTGAGATGATATATTAATAGAGTGATACCATTAAGATGTCCACAAATACTATTCCAAGTCAGCAAAGCTACTGCAGCAATTCCATGGCACAGCAGTGACCAGTGAACAAAACAATGATTTTTATCTGTACAACAGGGGCCATGGGACCTAATTTATAAGCTGTATTGTACACTCTACAGAATAGCGTGGGGCTGAATACAGGTTGAATGGTTCCCAACTCAATAGTTTTAAAGCTGCTGGCAATAACCTTAGCTTTGTATCTAAATTGGCTGTGAGTGGGTGCTTTGGTTCATGGCAACTTCAACTAAAGCTTCCCTCCTTCAGAATATGGTCATGCTAATGAAAAAATAGTTTTTCTTCCTTGTGTTTAGCCATCAAGGGGTAGTGTGAAGATGATCTCATCTATATGAAGAATATTTTTATATGGCATTAAAAAAATCTCAACCTTCTCAAAAAAAGAAAAAAGGAGACAGTTGGCTGTATCAACTTGAAGGATGCATTAAATGTGGCAATGCATAAGTAGCAACCTTGCAGCCATGCTGCTGCAGGAAGAAACAAACTGCAGAACAAGATGAAATAACAAGCTCCTTATTCTGGGCTGACTAGCAGCAAAAAGATAAATAGCATGTAAACCTTT